TATTAAACCTTTCTAATTGTTTTTTTTTTTTTTTTTTTTTTTTTTTTTTTGGGGGGGGGGGGGGCTGCTTTTATTTTCTGGGTGATTGATATTGGTTTCCGGTTCTGACGTAACGTCTCTCTCTAACTTGACTCTGCTCAGGCTGCTGCTCTCTGCAGCCCAGCTCCCTGCTCTGAAGTCCAGCCGCTGCAGCAGGGACATGATGGCTCGGTCCGGGCGGGAGGTGATGTGGGGTGAGCCCCGGGGCGGATCCACAGCTCCGTCCCGCTCACCCACGGCCCGGAGACAGAAAAATAAAATGACTCATCCAGTAACCTTCATCCTCAGTCAGGCCTCTTCGGGAATGACAGAGAGAGAGAGAGGGAGGGAGGGCAGCCATTGATCAGCAGCAGGATGCAGCACAGAGGATCAATGAAACAGGATGTGGAGTGTAAAAGCAAGTCAGACTCAGATAGCCATCCTCAGTCACACACACATCCAGACTTTGATCTAGTTCACTCACTAGTGAATATTAAAGTCTAACATTAAAACGCCAAGAAAATAAGATTTCTTATATCCTCTATAGAATATATGCTTTTGCATCCAATCCCCTTTACTGTGGTAGCACTTCATTTAGAGCAAGACCAAAAACCTTTTCCAGTCTCCTTCAGATTCTCATTTAAAACATCAGGTTTTAACTCCCATCAGTTCTCCTGTCACTGTTAAAGACAGAAATCCCACAGCATGATGCTACCATCACCATGCTTGACCCTGAGATCGGGTTAGCGGAAAAAAAATCGATACTCAAATACACAGTATACATACTGTGATTAGTGTTTGCATAGTTTTGCAACTGTTACTTTTACATTTCCAGATTTGCACGTTAAAATAAAAAAGTATTGCCAAATAGTTTTAAAAATGTGGTTGTTTTCTGTTTATTTGCTTACTTATTTAACCAGTAGAATCTGTATTCATTTGAGAAAGCATGTTTTTATGCTTAGACAGAAAAAGTTTTTAAAATATGAATACATATATTTTTATGTCTTTAATTGGCATTTTTTGAATCCCCATGGTATCAAAAAAGGTATCCATCATGTTGACCTGAGTTTATGACCCCATCCTCTTCGGCATGGTTGAGGTGTCCCACTGTATGTTTGGTGGAAAATATAAAGTAGAACGGTAATGCTTTCTTTTTCAGTACATCAATAACTATGCAATAACATGGTGATAACTTAGCAACTAACATATTACTAGATAAGAAACGTTTTATGGAGATTTTTGGTCAGTGCTGGTGCTTCAAATTTTAGGCCGACAAGGTAAAGTCAGACTTCTTAGATATCAAACCGTTATTACCAGTAACTCAGTCATTTCACCGACAGCAATCATGTGTCTAGTAATCTAGTAAAATGCAGTTTATTACTTGGCATAAACAGAAAACCAAACCTAGAAGACGGCAAGCCAATTTTCTTAACTAAACTCTTATTTATATGTAACTTGGGTTCAGTTATATGATTTATTAACCTGATCACAAGTTACAATTTACTCTGTAAAGTGTTGGTAGGTGGTGGCCAATAATAGAAACTTATGTTGCAACCTAATGGGAATTACCCACTAAAAGGGTCCATTGTTATATAGTAACATACAATTGTAATACCATGCAGGTAATTATCTGCATATATACCATAATTTTGCGATTATTACCAAATAAAGTTTTTCTTGTTACCAGGTAATATAGTGCGACTTGCTATCTTTTTAACATGTTATTACATCTTTATTGGTGTACTGTAAACAAAAGCGTTACCTGTATAACTACCACTGGTTTCTTTATCCTTGGATTTTTAGTTAAGGAAGATCTTGGTAGGTCTGTAGTTGTTTCATACTTGTAGTTGTTTCATACTGAGGGCAGATGCAGAACCAATATATATATATCTATGCTGAGGTTAAATTATACACAGGAGGATCTAAAATATTATTTACAGACCTAAGATGAACCACTTTATGCTAAAGGAAGCTTAACTTTTATTTTTGGTATTCAATTTTGAAAATCTGGATTGTTCACAATTTTTGTTCATAATATAAAAATCCAATCGAAAACATCAAGTGATAAAATGGATCAAAGTTACTCTTATAAGTTTATTAAAGTACTTACATTGTACTTAATTGCTTCATACATGTAGATACTATGGATGGCATTATGTTCTCTTTAGCTGATGTGAAAGTGCAATAAAAATAAGGAACAATAGCCCAAAAATTGTTTTTATTAAATCCATAACCCTCGTTACAATGTCAAGCACATCATCCACTTTACTTAAATCATCATTTAATAAAGAATCTCTTAAATACCAGCTGTGTTTCATCGCATAAAAAGCTTATTTCTGTAGAAGTTTTTAGCCATTTGTGACGAGAGCCTTATAGATGCCACAGTCGCACTTTCTACCAGAACCGTTTCTATATGAGGATTTCTGCAGATAGCAACGCTAAAGTGATTCACTTCTTTATAAGTGATGCACTGCACCTTAAATGGTTTCCCCACCAGAGGAAATGACCTTTGCAAGTCTGCAAAACTTAAAAAAAAAGAAAATGTATTAAAAAAAAAAACAAAACAAAAAAAAAACACCCAACTGATGAAGACAAATTCATCAGTTTGCTTCATTTTTGGATGCTTCATCAAAGTTCTCCACAAGATCTGGAAGACACAAAACAAAAATGTTAGCATTTCATATTAGCAGATGTAAACTAATAAAACAAAATCAACTCAATGCCTGAACTTGTTTAGCTAGCACTCCTACAAACAGATCTAATTTAAGATGCAATTGTCTGGATCTCTACCTGGTACATCATCGTCTTCCTCTTCCGCGTTCTCTTCTTTGACAGTTTTCAGCTCCATTGCTGCAGAAACATCATAAAAAAATATAATAAACAAACAGTTCTTGGATTATCTAACAAAACAAACTGCATACATTTCTGTAGCTTTTTGTCAATTTAACCATCTCTGTAGCTTGTGAAGAATCAAATCATGTAATCAGATTCTACTAAACAGCATTTGAAAGGATTTTTGTTCATATATCAGTTCTGACTTTTGCAAACTCTCACCTAGATCTGTTATGCAACCCTTCCAGAACTTTCCTAACTAATCCTTCATTTTTCCCCTCGCAGCTGAAGGTTTGCTAAATACTGCAGTAGAAATGTGTCACCAAAAAAATTTGCTAGAGCAAAAAATATCTTTAAAATTCACCCCAAACCAGCAGGTAAAGTCTGAGTCTTTTATGTGTTTGCTTGTGGAATAAGGGAAATGCTTCCCTCTCCACCTCTTAGTGGATTTTCCTTCAATTAAGAAGTAATAAGCCTCAGGTCCTGTTTTTAATCAGGAGTGTCATCTAATTCAGTTTTAAAAACCTGCTTGCAAGTTTTTCTTATTTCTTAAGATCACACTTTAATTTTTTTAATTACAATTTACTCTTGAATTTGATTAGTTTGGTCAGATTTAATGATTCCAGATTAGATTATTATTACTCTAACGTCCAAAGAAACAAGAGGCTTTCCTCAAAGAACAAAATTCTTGCCTTAAAAACATGGTGAAATGTGGTGTGCTTGAAGGCTGCGCAGTTTGCAGTCTTTTATACAAGAGCAAAACATTAAACAATTAAGGAGAGCAAGCAGAAAACGTGGTGCAACTCAACACTGAACGTCACCCTAAAACCAAGACCTCCAAGGTGAAACACAGCAGTGGTGGTAGCATGGTGTCATGAGCCTGCTACTCCTGCTGCACACAAATTCACCAGGAACTGGGCAGAATCTTGCAACCCAGCCGATGTCACTGCCAAAGATATAAGATCATGATAACCCAACCAGGGGGGTGTTTTAGCAGCATGCTCACATTGCCGTGGGAACTGCTCGGCCAGTTTGCGCAGGCTGCTGAGGCTGTCGGCTCCCAGCTGGCTCAGGATGCCCGGCAGCATCTCCGTCAGCTGTTTGGTCTCGGCGTGGCCTGTGATGGCGAAGGTGTTGGCCGACAGAGAAGCCTGAACTTTGGGGTTGTTGAAGTGAACCACCGTCCCATCGTCTTTTATCATATTCACCTTAAAAGGACAAACAGTTTAAATGAGAGAAGCCATACAACAGTACAACAGTCTCTACTCCAAAGAATTAGTTAGATTTGATTTCTCTTTTTCAAACAGTGTGTTAGCTGAAAGTCTGTGAGCTGAAAGTCCTTATAAAGTGGATATTAAAGGACAGGGGAAGACTTTACTCTGACTTTCATCTTCCCTTATGTCTTACGACACAACGCTTGATAAAAGATCCAGGAAGCGGAGACAAAACATATCTAAACAGTGAAAATTTGACGTCGGCTTTTCCTCCGACGGCTCACCTCCTCTATCCCTGCGATGTTGTTCACTGCCAGCTTCTTCAGCGAGCCCTGCAGCTTCTTATCATCAGCTGTCGCCGTTTTGTGAACAACCTTTTTCTTCCTGCGAGCAGTCCCCTGGGAGAAAGAAAAAAAACTGATTTAAATATCAAAAAAGGAGGATTAAATGAAAAAACGGAATCAGGAAAACTAGTGGCATCAGTTCAAGTCGCCTATCCTGACTTTAATGTCAGTTCTGTGTTTAAAACACCTCAGATTGGTCTTTTAAAGGTATAACTGAACCCTGGGGAGTATCTGTAGAACCTGTTTTAGATCCAATTAACCTTCCAGAGTTAGCAGTATTAACTTCATCTAAGCTTTCAAGTTTTACGTTAGATCCAGTTCCAACCAAGTAATTTAAAGGGAGTATTCCCACTAATTTCCTCCTCCATTTTAGATGTGATTAATTGATCCCTGTAACAGGGATACAAATCTAAAACTTCTACAGAAGCTGTAATTAAACCTTTACTTAAGATACGATCTCTCGATCTAAACAACTTTATCAATTATAGACATATTTTGTAACTTCTTTTCTTATGTACATATAGCAACAAAATTGTTGCTTACAGTGTGATGACTAAGAGCTTCAGTCAGGTTTTAGAGTTCATCACAGCACTGATGAAAGATCCTGATATTCTCATGGCCTCATATAATGGACTTGTATCTGGACTTGTCCTCCTATGCTTAGTTCAGATCAAATGCATTTTCAGCATCAAAAAAAGAGACTGCAAAGACTTGTCTTGGATGGTTGTACATTTAGAGGTGAGGCGCTCTGGATGTACGACGACCCTATGCAGTCAGTCAGTTCATCAGGATTATGATCCTATCGAAATGTTCTGTTCCCCCCAACCGCATACCGCTGGAGATGGCGCAGGGAGGCACTAGTGAGCTCTGAAGCTAGCAGGGCTTTCTGGGATTTCCTGTTGCAGTTTGCATCGGCTGAAAGTGAATTTAAGGCCTTTTTAGGGTTGTGGTAAAAACGGCAGGTAACAGGATATCAAATGGAACATCTTCCGCCAGTAGATGTTAATATTTTTAGTTAATAAAGGCAGTAAGAAAATGTTTTAGTGGATTAATAATGATCTTGCCCGCAGACAGCTGGACATAGGCACAGCATCCCTTGCGAACCCGCTTTGGATAAGCGAGACAGAAAATGATTGGATGGAAATGATCAGAGCTCACTCTCTTTTCCCTTATAAAAAAAAATAAAAAATGATACAGGTGATCACAATATTCTTTTAGAAAGGCTTAAACGGTCTGTAGGAATTAAGGAAACAGCACTAGGCTGGTTTAAATCTAATTTATCTGACAGATTTACATTTGTTCTCGTTAATGATTAACGGAGTGACAGGACCAATTCTCTATACTGTATAGATGCTCCCACTTGGTAAAAATATTAGACAGCATGGGGTTAATATAAATTGTTATGCTGATGATACTCAGCTACGTCTGTCTATAAATCCAAATGAAGCTAACCCATTACATAGACTAAAGGCAAGTCTTGAAGAAATAAAAACCCGGATGACTCTCATCTTTCTGCTCCTGAATGCAGACAAAACAGAAGTTATTGTCTTTGGACCAGAGTCTTTGAAAAAGAAGCTCATTAGTCAGTAACTTCATTTGGATGGGATTAAACTGATCTCAGATAATAAAGTTTGGTGTTATCTTTTATCAGGTTCATTTAAGTTCAGGTCTCTAGAATTTTTTCATTTCACTTCTGGAATTATGTGAGAATTAGAAATAGAAACCTTGATACTGAAAAACTAGTCAAGGCATTTTCTATGGCAATGCTGGAGTTTGGCTTATTGCGATTCTTAACCATAAGGAGGGCAGGAATCTTAGGGGGGTTTAAAACACTGCAGCAATGGTTCCAGACATTTATCGGCAGAGGTGAGAAGTAGGCCTAAGCGATAAACTGCTGTACCGTTTTGTCATACATTCAAAAAAAATAAAAGTAATTTTGCTGTTTTTTCTTTGTGCACTGATGGCTGCTATTTCCTCTGACGCTGCAGCATTTGGGGAATCACGTTACTCCATCGTTCCAGACAGAAGCGTAAACAAAGAGAATGGCGGACGCGCCCAGTGAAGAAGCGTCTAACCCAGCTGCAAACGCAATGACATCACTTAATCCTGTGGAGCTGAACGAGGGCAGAGATGAAGCTGAACGTGCAGAGAGGAAGCCGAGAGCACGTTTTCAGAGTTTAACGCGAGGCAGACCGGTTTTAAGCGAGGGTGTGCAAGTTTAAACGATGCACATTGTTCTCTCTGCACGCTCAGTTCGGTGGCACCAAAATTACAAAAGAACACGAAATGCAAAGTTTGTCTGAAAAGTTTTCTGGACTACCCAAAGTAACACATCCAACCTCCACCGTCTACAGCACAACCAAGCTGTTCGGTTCAAAGATGTGCAAAAGGCTCCCTTGCCTTTGAACAAAACTGTTTCCATGAGAGGAAACAGTTTTTCCTGGTCAATGAGACATTGTTGAATGTTTAAACCTGAATGGGTGCAAGACTTTAATATTTAATTGAAAGTAATAAGTAATGTGATTTATTAGTAAATAGATTATAAATAAACCACTTGCATTTCCTGCACATGCATTTATTTCTGATAGAGGAGCAGGAGCATTTATCGTTATCGAGGTAAAACTGCCCGAATTACCGTGATATTGATTTGAGGTCACATCGCTCAGCCCTAGTGCGAAGTAACTAGTTAAATTTACTTGAATAACTTTAACTTTATAGGAGTAGTTTCAATGCAGTTTCAATTTACACTTTAATAATGTTCAGTTATTTCTGACATGTTAAAAATATTCTCAAGTAATCTTTTCACTAACAGAAAAAGGATGATTTTTATCCCAAATAATGGAGACACAGCCAATATTATAAGTGGATGATGAAGTAGCGATACGACCAAAAAAAAAAAAAAAAGTTTTAAATTGTGTCATTCTTTAAACCATACAAGGTAAATTGAAAAACACAATTCACTTCAGATTTTTTTTTTATTTTTCTCATGATCCAAGTATAAAGTTGAGGTAATAGTATAATTCTTTTGAAAAAATATTGTTCATTTGGTCATAAATAGGGCTGGGTATTTTCGCCCAAGTCCTGAATCGATTCGATTTTGATTCATACAGTTCTGAATCGATTAATTTCGATTCGATCTGTTTTTACAGTAATGAAAGAGGTTCAACTGTGTTTCAAAATACTCATGCAATTTATTTTTTCCTGTCATATTAAACACAAAGTGCAAACTCGTAAATGAGACAGTTTAAACTTGAGATGTGAACAAAACTGTCTCAAAAGTGAAAAAGTGAAGCCTCACATGAACAAGCAGAGGTGACACAGCGGGGACACAGTAGACATGCATGAGCTGCATTATCTCCGCTGCACAAACCATATTAGCAGTGTTGTCTCTAACAACTACAGGGTGTTTGCTGGTCAGCCCCCATTAGTTTAATGTCTTCAGTCAACCTATTTGCTATATTTGCAGCTGTCTGGCTTGAAGTCATCTTGATGGTCTGTAGCACGAGATGCAAGGCGCCACTCGTTATCAATGTAGTGGGAAGTCACCTTAATGTCACATATCCAGCACATAATCTTTAGCTGTTTTAAATCCACAATGGTTCCAGATTTCAGTTGGGACAGCTTGCTGAGAGGTGTGTTACTTGGGTCGGCATTTACACACGCCTGCTTGAATGTAACACGCGCGCAACTATAAAACTAAACGATCTCATTCCTTACACATCGATTTTGCAAAAATCTAAAGGAATCCAACCATTAATCATTGAATGGATTTTTTTTACCCAGCCCTAGTCATAAATCATTATGCTTAGTTAAGTCCTTGTAGAAATCTGCCTCAATGCCAACAATTTACTTTTATATTATCTTTATTAGCACTTTTGGTGCCAGCAATGAATCCAAACAAGAAATGAAGAAGCATTTCAGTACAGGGCACTGGAAGCAAACACTTTCACCACAGAAATAAAAAATATTGCCCCCTAGTGTGAAGCTAAAAATCTCACAGAGAACTGAGACAAAAGCCCCAGGGGCCCCAGATGGAGGGGCCAATGTTCTGTCTGACAATAGAAATGCTGAGGTCAGACCTGGCAGGTGGAAAATACCAACACACTTCTTAACATGTTGGATTAAAAACCCGAGCAATCTAAGCAAATGGGAGATGTAAAGTGGAAATCCGTACCTTTCCTCCTATTCGGACCTGAGCTTGAAGTTTGGCAAGCTTCTCTTGATTCATAGTGATCTGGAAAACAAAACGAGCTGAATCCAAACCAGAGCAGCAGAGATGCAGCTGGCGACGGATGAACAAATAATAAGAATAACAGCAACAACATGAAAACAAATGTACTAAAACTTAATTAAAAACCTAACAATTCTATAGAGTGCCAAACAAATAAATAAACATAGATTTTTATTATTTTTATTAGACGTTACCATTTTTAAATAGCATGTGTCCTATCAGGCTAACTGATTTGCTGAAACAGCTTCATTAGGCTAATACTAGCTATGGGGCTAAAGTCACAACATAGAATCATTTCACTTAAACAAATATTGACTTTACAATAGTTTACCATAGCATTTACACTTTAAAAGAGTCTCGTGGGATGTTTTAACTAGTTTAAACAGTTTATTTACCTGCAATAAGGGATTCTGAGTATGCTGAAGCGATCGCTACAAATGAAATAGCATGGGCTGTGGAGCGTAGTAAAGTTAGCAGAAGGACAGCCAACTTCCAGTCCAGGTTTCTAGAATATAACTTCTATATTTTCTTTTTTTTTTAACTATCATCAATTTATGGGTTTTATTTTTTCAAATAAATGAAACTAAGCTATTTGGGATATATCTTATAACCAAACGATTTGAGCAGGGTTAAATAACAGTTTTTATTTCTCAATTAGGGCTTTTAATATTAACTTTTTGGATGTATTTCCGGTTTTACAATTGTATTTTCTCGTCTAACTTGACCGACAGTAGCATAGAAAAGCACGCGGTTGTGTGGATGTACTATCACGTGGGCTTTCCGCAGAAGGAGGAAAAAACGCTGTTGGCCAATAGGAAGCAAGTACCGCACGTCTATTATTATCAAGGGGCGGGTGCCTAACTTTTATGGTGCCTTCAATACATACTGAATAATCGGAATTCCAAACCCTAGGTCGGAAGATACAAACCAGGTCACATCAAATTTGAAAGGATAATAGCGTTTGTTTGTTTTTTTACAGTTGGAAAGTTGGCAAAAATAGAATTGTGTCTTTGCATTTCTGTCAGTTTTGCAATATTAATCGATGAAACACTCATCATTGTGCAAAAACCGTCCATTAAAATATAACACAAGCTAAGCTGGAGTAAATGCATATTAAACCTACTCACCGACCACAAAAATGAAGAAATCCCACTGGTTTTATAATTATGAATGAAAAAAAAAACAATGACGTATTTTTTAGCTTTGCTTTCCTATTCCCGAGGTAACCCCAACGCCGTACTAACGCAATTAATTTTATTTTGAAATATTGCGGTTGGACATCCGGGTTGCCAGCGCTCACGTTCCCTACTTGTTAGCTACGGCTGTGGGAGAACAAATACGGCCAAAATGCAAATATCTATAGTCAACCTCGTTGTTTTCTCTTTGCTGCAGGTTTTACTTTCTTTTTCGTGTTTTCAAGAAGTTGTTGAAGCAGCAAGTGGAAGAGGTGAGTTTATATTTGCCGTAAAACTGGTTTAAGTTGACATTGTGCTCATTGAAAGTGCTCTACAGAGGAGGACGCTTGTTTTTGTGTTCACATCCAGGGTCCCATTGTGTGACTTCTCGAAGCCTTTTCAAAACATGTGTCCGTTAATCAAAGGCAAATAGTCTAGTATTTCTGGTTCGCCCGGTTTTACTGTTAGCGTAAATTAAACTAAACTGTCGTAATATGGGCTTGACTGAAGAACAAATGCATTACAGGACATTACTCATAATCATGGTTATATATTCACCAACATTTTAGTTCAAACTGACTTTTTCAGTTAAACAACTCCCATACACTTGAAAGCTACTTGGTAAAAGCCATTTGAATATTTGATGTACTTCTCTGCCTAATAACGAGCATTAGATGGTTGCAGAGAGGAATGGCTGCACTTTCATGCATTAAGAAAGGATATGCAGTAGATTTGAGAGAAAGGAGGGAAATGAGGCAGGACTGAACGATTTTTCTGGAAATCTAAATTGCAATTTTCAACGATTAGGATTTTATTTCGAGTTTCTTCTTCAATAAGCATTGAGATGTTTTTTCTCCAGGGTTTCAGTTTTTTATGTTCTTGAAAGCTTGCTGCATCAATAGAAATAATCCTAACACTTGTCTGCAGTACATTGTTGCAGAACTTTACTGTAACCTTTGTGTGAAAACTTTTTGCATACTGCAGCCATTCTAACCCAAAGAGCTGATGTGTCTTACACTGTCTTAAATGCAATCTGACCAAATATGAGGACTTCTGCGATTTATGAAATTGCATCTGGTTAAATGGTGGTTATATTGCAAATGTAACTAATATCCAGCCCTACAATGGGTGTGGTTTACTTTATATGTGATTTACAAAATACAGTTCATATACTGAAAATGTCTCCCTAAAGTTTGAAAGTTTCTTTTTAGCTTTAAAAAAACAAAACAAAACATGCAGCAGACAGCAGCAATAGCTCTATTTTTGACTTGATCTAGCAAACAGACAACTTAAAATGGTAACATTTGGCCTAGTTCACTTTCAGTGAGGTGGAGAGGGGTGAAAAAGAACAACAACAAAAAAAGCATAATGACAGCAACAAATCCCTCAAAATCTCTCCCTTCAGGGATTTACATCGAAATGCAGGTGAACACATAAGCTTTGTCTAAAAGGCAAACTCCTTTTTAAGAAAAAAAGCATCAGTTACCAGTAGCAATGGGTCTGTGATTGATTCCTTCCTGTAAGCCAAACACAGAGGCTCAGGGTCAAAGATTTGCTCTTTAGGGCATTAAACAAGAAGATTATACACAGGCATTGGCTCTGTTTTTGGCTCCATTCAGGAAAGAGATGGAGCTAAATGCAGTGTAACCAGGGCAGGAGTGTCCGTTGTTTTTATGATGGGAGAGAACAATTTGTAGAGGAAACATAACTTATCCGTAGTTTGTTCAGAAAAGCATTACAACTGAGTCCAGATGTTCTGTACCATGGAAGGTATCTTTGTGCCCATCCCTCTGGATTCAGTTTATTTTCTGTTCTGGACAGTTTATTAGAAAATGTCAAACATATCACTTTGCTTTTTTAAATCCTAACATTCCTATTATAGATTTAACTGAAAATGAAGTAAATTCTTGTTTCCAAGTGGGTTTTTAAAGTGTCTGCCTTGAAGACCATAGCCAGAAACTGATTCTACCAGAAAAAGCTCTGATATCTGAGATATATACTTTTTATTTAGTTTGTTAAAACACAAGTTACCACAACTTCACCTTTTTTTTTTTAGTCTGGTATTAAAGCAGAAGTCTTTAGGTTGGTGTTGTGACCTCAGGTGTTCAGACCTACCCTGCTGCATGTAAATATGACACCAGTTCTTTGTTCTGACAGGGTTTGGAGATAACATCCACTGGAGGACACTGGAAGATGGGAAGAAAGAGGCTGAGGCCAGGTAACTCTGCTTTCAGTTGAGCAAACATTAACCCTTGGTCTAAAAAGAGGAACACCACACCTTCATGTCAGCTGATAAACAATGACCAAGCTCACTGTGTACAAAAAGCTGTTACTCTGAGAAATGTTCATTTTCTGATTGCTTTGACAGCGGGCTACCAGTCATGGTCATCATCCACAAGAGCTGGTGTGGAGCCTGCAAAGGTAATTTACTGGAAAACATCTCCTAATAAATGAGACCTTGGTATAAATTCAAGCTCATAGAGATTCATGTAATTCATCTCAGCAGAGGCCTGAGGCCTGTAACATGAGGCAGGATTACTGTGTTTGCGAGACAAATAAGCCTCAACCCTGACTTTTTGGTACCACAAAGCTGGATTAGTTCTCAGCTAGGCTAGTCACCATGGTAACGGACTCTGAATGGTAAACCTGCTTCGGGACAGGCTAGCGATCCTGAATCCTAGAAAAAGCCCCACCCAGCAGCCAATCAGCTGTTTAGAAAACAAAACATCATCACAATAAAATAGCAGTTAAAACAAAACATTGAATAGTTTTACATTTATTCTATTTTTCCTCCTTTTTGACACAGCAGCCTTGTACTATTCTGCATTTGTTTTCTCCTGTATAATGTCCTCATAAATGCTGGCATTCACTTGTTTCTTATATAATTGTTATATGAATCTAAATTAAAAAAAAGAAAAAACATACCTATAAGAAAATAAAAATCAGAGCACTAATTGTGAGAAGATCCTTTACATGATCGCTATAAGGATATGAGCCATGCAGGTTTTCATTTGTATGGTATTGGTAAACTGCCAGGTAAAGAAAAAACACTAAGAAGAAGGCTGTAAAGTTTCTGTGAAATGGAACATTGGTCATAAAAAGGAGAGGTGAAACGGAAATGCCACAAAGTTTCATTGAAGTAGAAAATGCATTTATACATTTGTGTATATTTTGGGCTGCATTTGAGGACTTTCACACTTTAAAAGCAGAGCAGATTTTCAACTCAAACATCTGGATGACTTTCAGACTGATCACTTCTTTTATTGATATGATGCAATTGTGGCATCAGCTTCCAGCTTTATTGGAGCCCAAACGTTATGAAAAAGTCCAACTAAACAGATGAAATGATGGTTTTTCTGTAGGATTTTTATCTCCTAAGTCCTTTTCACTCCCGAGGGGATCGTAATTAAGTATACAGTGATTGGGTAACTGGCAGCTTTAAATGTCACTGATGTTTAAGTTGCGTATTTATGTCGTCTGCAATCTTTTGGTAGTCATTTGAAATCTCATTCATGCTGCCACTGTGTTTGACTTTTCATTGATACTATTTTCTCTGTATTTCTGTAAGAGGAGTTTTTGTTCCTCACTGGAAAAATATGGCGATCTCGCTTCTGCGCTCATGGTTGTGATTGGTCTTGAACCCGCTCCTTTATATGTGCAGGATCACAGATTCATGATCAGTTCATGCTGGGTTGAGTTAGTGAGTCGTGGTACAGCTGATCCTGATTGGCAAGGTGGATTGGTTAAACTGGATAGGCTGGAAGTAATCCTGCTACGCTGAGCTCAGGATGGTAGCTTCTGAAGTCGGGCAATAATGCAGCAGGGAATTAATGAACTGGCTATAAAGAGGAATATATGAGGTCTTTTTTTGTTTTTATGTTGATCTCTCAAGTTTAGCAAGACCAGGAAAGAGGCAGTTTTAAGTTATCATTTATTGAATAATCATCTGTTGATTCACAATCTGTTTGTTAGATCCTCATGCATATAACATGGGAAAACATTTTCTCTAAATATTGCTGCTTTAGTAGAACAAGACCTTAAAAGGTGCTTTCTCAGAGTTCTGAACCTGAGGGACTTTCAACCTGTGGGATACATCTACAAAGATTTGTTAGCAGCTGAAGGTCCTTTAATTGTCTCAGCTCAGGAAGGAGATGTAACCAAACATATAAGCTAAAACTGCACAGTTTATGTAAGAAATATTTTTATTAGTGGCTCTATTTCTGGAAAAGGAAAAGCTTAACACAGCTGGTAATACTTTCAAAGGGAGACAGGAAGTGTAGAGTTGATGGCAACCACAGCTTTCATTGGTACTCTGCCAGAGGTACTTTCTGAAATAAAATAAAATAAAAAAACACAGAGGGGATGGTTGGGAATACTTTCTCTGCTCGGAGTGCACCATTAATGTCAATATTTGCTTCATCAGTGAATCCATTCAGGAAAAGTAGACAGCCGAAACACAGAAACCTTACCAGGAACACTTTCTGAGGAGCACAGAAATGACAGCAGCTTCAGCTCATTCACTGACTTTGTTCAGAAGAGCACAACACAGGAACACACATGTTGGCAAAAAAAATATGTAACCCTTATTATATTTAGGGATTCATTCAGGGTTAATAAAAAATAAATAAAAATTGAAATGGAAGCAAAAGCCTAAAAAGAAACAGGATGTTTGGAAAATGCCAGATTAGAATGATCTGAAAGGTTAAGTATTGGAAATTTTTTCTAAATGTGGTATAACACGTTTTAGGGCTTCAATTGAGAACTTTCAAATATTTTAACGAAATAACTTTTTTCTTTAACACCTCTGTTGTATTTTCAGCTCTAAAGCCCAAATTTGCTGAATCCAAGGAGATCTCTGAACTGGCACACAACTTTATAATGGTGAACCTGGAGGTAAGGAGCTGCTGCACTATCTCTCAATATGTTAGACCTCCATCTTTTATTATTATTTTAGTCTCACCTAGTCAGAATTGTCTCACAATTTCCTCCACTAACCAGTGCTCAAACTCCATGTATTCAGTCTGCAAATGTTTATTGTATTTACACAGGATGAAGAGGAGCCAAAGGATGAAGCCTTCAGCCCAGATGGTGGCTACATTCCTCGGATTCTCTTCCTCGGTACGAAAAGCCCGCTGACTGGGGCGGCCCACTGGATTCCTGTGGGGGGGTGGCTGTAGTTATCATCAGGTTTAGAAGCGAAGATATTTCAAACATGTTCTGACAACAGCACATAGATATTCTCTATAGTACCTGATGATACTGATAACTGGAGCTGAGATTCGGTAAACACTGCAGGCCCCAATAATGTTGATGTTCCAACAATGTTTGCAGTCAGTGGTCGGATGTCTGTCTGAATATTTCAGGAAATATTTGCAAAGATCGTTTATTTTTTTAACAGCTGAGCCAGACGAGAAATAAAACTGTTATGAAAACAGATTTCATCTCTACTAACTGTTCAGTAAGGGGGGAAAAAACCCTTAGTTATAATCAGTGATCCATTATATCTGTTGACCAGAATCTATTCTATTTGAACAACCTTATGGTTTTTAGGTCATAAGCTAGCCTCAAATGAGATTTTGCTCCTTCTAGTTTAAGTTTTAACCAGCGAAGCTGGATCAGCTTCTGACCTCCTGTTGATTATCGCTTTGTTTGCTCCAATGGCTAATATTTGTAGCAAGTAAATGGCAACTGTTATACAAGAAGTTTAGAGCCAGTTGTGGTCCATAACGATTGGTTCTTGATGCTCTCTGCCTCATATTTTCCTAATACTGAGGAGGTTATATATTTGAAGCGAACTGAGCTTAAAATGCCAGCTGAAGGATTCTACCTACTGCTTACTTGCAGGCCAGTTTTTTTTTAATACTTAAGGTGAAATATTTATATATTCAAATCTTCTTGCCTAATTATGAATTAAGTTAGTTTTTAGAGCAAATGGCCCATTTTTAGAGCTACTAAACTCCTTGTAATAATTACTGAGTTCACTATCATTTGAGTAATTGTTTCAACCTGGTATTTAAGAAACCTTTATACATTTGGTTTTTCTTCTAATTTAAGCTATTATATCTAAAATCAAAGTGGTCTATTTTTTTTTTTTCCTTACAATGTCTTTAAGACATTTTTAAGGTAGTAAAGGTGTTTTTTTCTCTTTCAAATTGCACTAGTACATTTTTATTCTTTTATTTAAATTATTTTGGAAATTTAATTGCCATTTTATTATTATATTGTAGCTATAGTTTCCGTAACTGTTTAGTAGCTTAGTTGTTTTCTTTGCTAAGTGAATGCAACACTCTGGATGAGTCAGAATAGTTTTTTTTGTATTGTTTTGTTTTCTTATATCTGTGAATGAAGAAAGCTCATGGTTTGGTTTCAGTTTTTTATCATCTATTTGATGTTTAAAGAAGAGTTAAGGATTAACTTGGATCAAGCAATGAAAATAGAGCAGTCTGTGAAATGGCTGAACTTGCAAGCTTGTGTTTATATTCCAGGTTAGAATAAAGAAAGTTTTCTCTGTGACTTTTCTTCTGCTCCCAGATCCCAGCGGCAAAGTTCATCCAGAAATCACCAACAGAAACGGGAATCCCAATTACAAGTACTTTTACAGCACAGCAGAACAAGGTAACACTCCAGATTTAACAGCTTCTCTGTGGTGCAAACATATTCAGTAAATGTATTTTCTATGTTTCAAGCAATCAAAATTTATTTAAACTTTAAAAATGTTGATCAGTGGGTCTGTAGGGTTTCTTTGTGGTTTTCTCTGCATTTTAGGAGCTTTATTTTCCACTCTTTTCTCTGTAATCCTTCTAGCGGAACCACTCAGATTATTCTGTAATATTGGCTTCAAATAGCTTGAAAATTAGAGGTAAAAAAATAATGCAATGGTTGAATAGAATTTATTGGAGGAAACATTAAACTCATCCAGGGACATGAGAGATGTAATTAACCATTTGCTCTGTACCTTAAATAGCTTTAAACTTATTATATCTGGTCTCATTGGAACCAAAAACACCAGAAGCTCAAAGGGGGAACAGGAAGAAAAAGCTTGAAGCCTCCTGTTTGTAGTTTTATAAATGTTACATGGAGAATACTGCATACATGTTTGAGCAGATGAGACTAAGGTTTAACTTTTTGCTGTAGTGCTACAGTCTTAGCTTATGTACCTGAATTATTTGGCTCACTAGCATGCAGTCAAGCTCTACAGAGCTCTGCTAACGAGCTAGTATTTGAGTATTGGAGACCACCCGTTCAGAAGCAGAATGAAACCTACCTAAGACTGCATTTTACACTGAAACAGGTTGGTGGCAGCATCATGGTGTGGGATACTAGTTTTCTCCTTTAGCAGAGCTGGTCGAAGTTGATGATGGAGTTCAACACAGGAAACCCCATTCAAAGTGTGGACCCAAATCTGATTTAGAATATTTAGTTAAACCGTACAATTTATCTACAGATGTTCTACATCCAATCAGGATGAGCAGGTTGGATTTTCCAGCTGATTAAAGCTGGTTGATACAGTGGGGCAAAAAAGTATTTAGTCAGCCACCAATAGTGCAAGTTCTCCCACTTAAAAAGATGAGAGAGGCCGGTAATTTTCATCATAGATATACCTCAACTATGAGAGACAAAATGAGAAAAAAAAATCCAGAAAATCACATTGTCTGATATATTTGTGTGAAACTGCTTCCGGTTGATTGCAAAGCCGTATGTTCAGAAAAAGCTAGAGAATGGGGGGGGGGGAATGCCAATTTCAACAAAAGTGGCTGGAAAACGAGGAATTCGAGACATGGCTGCAGCCTGTCGACGGGTACCTGTTGGTGGCAATTAAATTATTAAATTAGAGTTAAGTTAGAGTTATTCATTCCTGTATAAACCCTGTAAAATGATTTCAGTCAAATTTGGCCTTTTAGAAAACAGACCGTTATATCAAGCCGTTTGAAGAGCTTTCTTTGCTGATCTGTTTTCTTCCTTTGGCTCCTCTCTGTTTCTCAGTGCTGTCTGGTATGAAGGAGGCACAGGAGAAGTTGACCGGTGATGCCTTTAAACAAGGCCACACAGGAGACGAGCTGTGAGGAGTGGAAATAAAGAGGAGAGAGGGGGGCTCCATCAACGCTGCAAGGGCTACACTTCCTCTACATGAGCTGCTGAGATCCTTCCATCAAGTCCCTTCTAATATTTATACATCCAACGGTAGAAAGTAGGTTTAGTCTCAGATGATTTTTAAACCCACGGGTGCATGAGTGTTCCTTTCCGTCCTGCATGGTTTTCCCAGCTCTGCAATCGTATTTCTTTTTTAATCATGAATGTTTCTAAGTTACTCTTTACTAAATGTCAAAGCATTTTACTGTATTTTCTGTCAGTAGAGGATATAAGCGACTCTAGTTCGTCTTGTTAACGTTCATTTATTGTTAGATTCCAGCTGTGAATACTGTTTAATGCATTGAATTTTTGTTTTTTGTTTCTTTGACATATAAGGTACAGGTACAGAAACGGACAAATTAGCCATGTTATTTATGCTAATGAAGAAATCAGCATTTGATCTGTAAATTAGTCATTATTTGAAAGTAAGGCCTAGATTCATGGGGTAATTTAACATTTTTCCTAAAGAGAGAAAATCTCAGGAAAACTGAAAGTTTTTTTAAACTGGAAGTAAAACAGTTTAATTCGGTCAAATCTGATTTAAGAGATCAAGCAGTTTCGTTGGGATTTTTAAATCATTGTTTCAATTCTGTGTTAGAAACATTTGGTGTTTTGGAAAACATGGTGGATGGCCCTGGAGGCTCGAGCTCTGGGCCCTGGAGGCTCGAGCTCTGGGCCCTCAGGTGTAGGTGGTCTGCAGGTTTTAGACACGTTCCTGTTGCAGCACTACTGGGTTAATAAACAGAACTGGTTTTAGGTTCTGATCCAATCCAAGTATCGCAATTCAAATCTGACTTCTCCGTTTTTTGTAGGCCAAATATTTTTTTTTTTCCGTCTGAAATTGGAAAGTTTATCTGCAGAGAAAATGCTTCCGACTGGATGTTACTGTATGCAGATTATTAATGTAATATTAACTAACATACACTGCAAAGCTTTTAGGTTTAAAGTTTGTTTTAAATACTAAAGTATATGAATACAGTTTGTTTTAGTAGTGCATTTTGTGCCAATACTTTAAGTTGTATAATATTCACCTGATGAATGATCCTTTATTTTGCCTGATATTCTATTTTTTTTTTGGAGCATCATGAGCTAAAATATCAATTCGTTGAGCCTGGATTGTGAACCATTTTTAAAAGTGGAGATCCAATCTCTAAATTGGGTCAACTAGACATCTATAGAACTGTGAAAAGCAGAGACATGTTTAAAAACATGACCGTCTCCTCACCAGGACTGAAAAAAACAAAAGGCTGCATTAAATTGAGAGAATTTGTTTAGTTTCCCTGTTAAAGATGCTTTTGATCCACTCCTGACATTTAAAAACTACCAGGGAAAAAACAGAAAAGACTGTTAAGCCAAAGATGAGCTGCATTTTAATGGAAATGAAGTGCTAACTATTATTTGTTGGAAGAAGCTTGTCTCTTTCTGGTTCTTCAAGTCAAATATTTTAACAGCTTCAGTGACGTGCTTCCAGAGATGATCTACTGTAATTTACCAGCCCATTCGCCATGTACATACAGACATTAAACCCAGTTTTTTAATTTCTTTGAATCCTATATAATCCTGCCGTGTACAAGCTTTGCCGTTTTGTTTCTGATGCATGTGAGGGAAAAATCAAGTCTTTTTTTACTCTTAAAAGGAAACAAAAGCCGACTTCATGTCTTGATGTATTTTATACACGTGCCAAATAAAGGTTTGTTGTACAGAGTCATTTTGAGGCTGGTGTATTAAAGACAATTGAAACCATTACAATATGTCACTTTTTTATTGAAATGCAACAACAGTGATCCCTTATGGTTGATGGCCTACATGGCTATGGACAATCCTAGATCTATAAGCCTCTTCATTATAACCACAACTTTGTGGGTTTTTTATAAGACAATAATTCACATGAAAAGTTCAAAACGAATCTAAATATAACCATTAGACTAAAACACAGTAAAATCATGAGGAAGGTCCGTCATCGACATGGCAACAGCCATTTAAACAGAAAATGCTCAACAGATAGGAGCCGAGAAATGATCCCAAGTCATCTGCTACTGGATGCGACTACTAGAAAGATGGAAGTGAATCTATATAATTATTCTAATTACACAATGCTGCTGTAAAATCAGCAACATTCTTATATATTTAAAAAAAATTCTATAAAAAGATGTGCCGCACATTTGTTTATCCAAATATAAACAACTAGAAAATAGATTCGGAGTATGAAACAGGGAATTTAAGGTTAGGAAGGTGCAATTTGTAGCTGCTGTGATGAACGTCTCAGTTAAGGGGGGGGCTGTCCAAGAACTTTATGCCACATCTGGACTCGATACTCAACCTTGTGCACACTGGAGGCAGGTCAAGTGTCCGAAAATGGATTCCTGATAACTTAACACGTTAAATAATTTGTCTATGTCAACACGCCAGCCTGCCTGTTTGTCCAGTCGGCTTCAGAGAGGTGAGGTGGGAGAGGAGCGTGTGGGGGGGTGGGGGCAGCAGAAAACCTAAAGTCTCCCCTGCTTGGCGTCTCCGATAGCCCCCCACACGTCAAAGACAAACTCGTCAGGGAAGGCGAAGTCTCCGAGGGTCTCGTCCAGAGCCATGGCGAACTCGTCTGGGTTCTTCTTGTCCCGGCCGACTTCTACCATTGTAGCGGCTAGAGAGAAAAGGAAAGAAATAACAGTTGTTCTCTTCTGACTAATGGACTGATAATATCAGCAAAACGATTCTGTATCGTTAAACATTCTCTCCTATTGGGTTTGCTGCCTTCACAATGCTGTGACATATATATTTTTAAATACATATACACACATCACCATTTAAACTTTCTTTTTTGAAATGACCATTATTTGATTTTATCAGGTAGTCGCTAGTGGTCAGTCGATGGATTTCATGCATCCTCTCCTTCCTGTAGCAGAGATGAATTAGGGAAGTCTATAACTGTCTTGCCCAAGTAGCAGCTCAGGATAATATTTGGATCCAACATGTTTCTCTTCTCTACCACAACAAAAGCATTTGAACACAATATGCTGGTAATTTCCACTTTATGTGTGGTAAGGATCATGTTTACCAGACCACATGAAGGCAGCATACGTTTCCACCCTCAGCTCCTACATGAGCTTTGAAGTCTGGGTGAACAAGATCCTGCAGGTAATAGGCTAAAATGAGCTTCCTCTGTAGGGTGGCTGAAGAGCTCTGGAGTAGAGCTTTTGCTTCTCCACATCATCAGCAAAGCCTCCTTAGTTCTTCTCCTTTGGAGGTTTTCAAGGTTCATCCCACTGGAAGGAAACCTAGGAAAGATCCGGGACCTGCTGGAGGGACTAAAAATCCTGTCTGACCGGAGAACAGCTTGGGATTCCCAGTAAGCTGGAGGAGACGGGCGGACAGATGAGATTTCTGTTAATGTTCATGACCAACTGAACATAAAACAAATGCAAGAAAATTACTTAAAATCACTAAAAACAAAGAAAGTTTTGTTTTTGAAGAGACCTATCAACCTTCAGAGAGGCGTATGTCCTTTCCATCATGTAGAATCAAAGACTTTGTCCAAAGATCCGCCCTAATCCCTATATAGGGCACTATACACTGGTTAAGCCATATTACATGAGGGGACTCAAAATTTCCCATAATGCACCTTGAAAAATAGTGATCATCCATGGTCACTAGATGAGCAGATATATCCTAGAACGCTTTGAAAGAGCTCTCCTTGCAAAGCACCATGGGATTTGTTGTGTGCCAAGAAAGAACAAAGATGGCGCAGGCACTGTGTGTTGAGGCGGAGTCACGTGACCATCGGGGAGCGAAAAGCAGTGATCATCTGTCCACGGGTCAGTTAACTCAGTTCAATATAAAGTCCCGCTCTAAATGCTGATTGGGGGGTGAGGGCGGACGTTCGGATGCAGCCAGAGCCTGGTATGGACTCCTTTTTATGACATCACTGCATTCGTTCTAATATCATGAACTGCATCCATTGATGTTAATAAACTTACCGAGCTCGGTGTCTCTGATCCCCATGTAGCTCTCCAGGAGGTCATCTACTTTCTTTATTGCTTTCTCATCAAACTCTGTCGGCTGCAAAACAAAAGGTTCCGAATCTTTGGTCAAGTTTTTTTAAACACAAAAGTAAACTCAAGCTATTGCTTTTTTTATGTTTATGTTTATGAAACTCCTATTTATGAAAGAGACCAGCTAAAAGTAAAAGCTTTCATAGCTAAAATACCATTCGATAAATGTTGTTTTTTTCAATTCTTCGTATAAATCAAAAAAAGAAAAATCACATACAACTAAATCTCACTTGAACTTTGGTCAAAATTAGGGTATTCTTCTTTCTTTCAAACATGTTATATTACCAGGAGTCCTGGCTTTTTAAAGACATGTAAAAAGCATTAAAATAAAGGTAATCTATTGCGGTAGCATAGTCTCACACTGCAATATGAAAAAAGGAAATACTCAGAAATAAGCTTTAACCAGCTATCTCGCGTTTGCCATCATCAACTCTTGGAAACATCAGGAAAAAGCATTAAATAAAAGTTAAATGGCTGGTGAATTTTTAAATATTACATGTAATTTTTAGGGTATTTTTTCCCTATTGAATACACATATCTAATTCTTACTGAATTTTCAGACTAGGATTATGCTGCTGCAATAAAATGATTTATTTCAAGGCTTTTCACACAGTTTTACCCAAATGCTTCTGGAGAGATGGAAACCTACATTTACAAGGAGATTCATTTTATTCTCATCAACCAAAGAAACTTTCCTGTTAGAAATTTTGGTTGCAGTTTCTACTCTATGTCATGCTTTGGAAAATCCTGTTATGTTATGTTAAACGAAAGAGGATTAAAATTACATTGTGAAGCACATATTTCACTGACAGAGATGATGTGGTGTTGAAAGTCAGTGTGACAGTCATCAGAGCGGCTAATCATTGGACTCAGGTTGAATAATTCAATGAGGCATTCACACTACAGCTCAGCTGTCATTAACTGACTGACAAAACTTTAATTATTCAGTGAATCACGCTGAATCATCCAATTACTGTGTTAGTGGTTATATAAGGATAAAATAAACAGAGAGAATCCTACCTCATCCTCCACTGTAGCTGGACCTTTGGAGCGAAGTCTCAAGGTGCTCCTTCCTGTGCCAATCTTATTTTCGCCACCCGGCTTGCCGCCCTTTGACCGCGGCTCAAGCATTTCTGTGAAAGGCATTACAGGAAAAACAAAACTGTATAATGCAAACTGCTTTCTTTGTCTGTGGCAACTATGCAAGTCATTGAATGCTAAACATCTTGTCACAATATTATCCTGATGTCTGTATTTATAAATCCCCTGAGAACAAAGCTGATGTTTTCTTGTTTCTGGTTTAGTGGTCCTTAAAATCCTATTTCTAGCCTAAAATACATAATCATATCTTTGAGGAATCCTTTCTATGACAAAAAAAAAAAAAGGTCATCTAAAATCCCTGCAATTAACAAATTACTTCACAAGGATATATTAGTATTTTTAAAATCTATTAAAATGCAATCCAGATTAAATTAGATACTGTTCTTGAAATATTTGAAGCAAATACAAAAAAAAAATAGTCCATCTAAATCTCTGTCAGCACATTTATATTTTTATATATATATATATATATATATATATATATATATATATATATATATATA